TCCTCCTCCCCCGTCATCTGCTCCTGTGTGCTCTGGTCAGATATATCCTTCTCCCGGAGCTGTGGATTCAGTGCCATCCTTTGAAATAACTTCTTCTCTGGGGAGGGGCAGGCATCCACTTAGTATTTGGAACTGGGGCCAGCCCCCCAGACCTCTCCACTGGTTCCCTACTCCGCGGAAAGTTGTGTTTTTCTAGGTAGACCTATCACCTAGTTTTGACTCCATGTGAACCTGAGGTCTTAGTTAAGCTACTATCTATGATTCCAAATTATTAAGTCTAATATCCTAAGTCCTTGAAAATTATTTAACTAGTAGACATTTTAAGGTAGAAAATTTCTCGTTAAAAAGACTGATTCATAACTCAAAAGCTCTTTAGGGACTTCAAATATTAGACATGAATCATTCTGTCATGTGTCAGAAGCCATACTATTTTTTCATGCTAATGTGTAAGTGAAATATATGTAACATCTTCAGAACCTGGTGGGTTTTTTTGGGAGAAAGGGGGTAGGGTAGTGGGTGGAAATGGGGAAGGTATTAGTTCTCTTGTATCTATTTTGGCAGTGCCTCTAAAAGCTTCTGCATAATTGATTCAGGAATGAGGCATTGTTTTCTTCTCTCTTTTTTTCTATCATCCATGATTTAATTAGGTGATTAATACTTGTCAACATGCCTTATATTAACTCTAACCTCTTTAGATCTAAAGGTCATCTGTTTAAATCTTTCATATTGCGTAGGAACATAAAAGAAAAAGTGACTTACAGATTACGAGAACACCGTGTATTCTGGATCTCTTGATTTCTAGTTAGGTCAGGGACTACTTACTATTCTGTAAGGGCATTGTAAAGACATGACGGGCTTTGGACGTTCTTTTAAGAAACTTAACATATCAGAAATAAGTCATTTCGAGCCTTCTGTAGATTCAGTATTAAAGAAATCCATTTGCCTTAGCTACTTAATATTTGCACTCAGTCTTAATTTCTCACCTTTGTCAGAAACTTTTTTCTTTTCATGTAATCTGAATGGCTCCAGAAAGTCTGTATTCCTTGAGAACTTCGAATTCTGTTCTGCATTCTCTCCCTTTTGATCAGGATTGTGTTATTGAATCCTTGATTAAAAACTTAGTAAGAGTAGCCTGACACTCTTCTATTTTTTTTATCTAATGACAGCTAGCCACACATTCCATTTCCTTCACCTATTCTGGACTCTCCTCCTTTCTTTGTTGCTCCAGGTGAATAGAAACCCAATTGTCATTCCTTGGACAGCCACTTGCAAACGTATAAGACCCTGGAGTTACATAATAAAATAGAAGGTAGATCTTATGCCCTAAACACATTATTAGACCTCTGAAAGCATAGTTTGAGTTTATAGTGTGATTTAGTAAAACGCTGATTATCAGATATTTTTTTCCTACAGTTACAGAATGGGACGATTTGACTTAAAAATCAGGCTGGATTCAAATCTTGATTTTTACATCTCAAAGTGTATGTGTTTGGGAGAATCTATTAGATGGGCTGGGTCATGATCTCCTGACTTGTTGAATGATCTCATTGTATCTCCTCTCGATCTCATACTTACTGGTAAGATTACGTCTAGGAGGTGTAAAGAAACTTGTGTGATTTTGCAGTTCACAGCAGCAGAAAGCCTCCTGCTTCTCCCAGCTGCTCCGAAGGACAAAGATGAGGCTTTCTGCTCCTGTAAAGATTAACGTCTCAGAAACCCACCGCGGCAGTTCTACTCAGTCCTTAATATTAGTGGTGTAAAGAGACTCTCAGGAGAGAGGCTCGTGGTTTAATCCAGAACTGAAGGGCCTTGTTTGCTCTCATTTTGGGGTGGGGCCTTCAAGAACTTTGAGCTTTGTGGCCCTTAATGAAAACTAAGTGGACAGACTACTAGGAACCTACCGCGAGAAGACAGCTGCAGACTGCCCTGCTTTAGTCACTACTTCCTGTTGTAGGAGGGCCCAGTGAGCCATCCAGGCAGCACTGCCACCTGCGCCTGAGAGGGTGCCTGTGTGGTGAGTTTTTCATCTCTTATTAGACCCTTCACCTTACCTTGGCTTCTGTGAGATGCTAGGGAGCACCTTTCTCTTCGACCCATCAAATGATATGTTCTGATGTCTTTGAACACGTGTAGAAAGGCTGCTGGACCCAAAGTTGCTGAATTCCCGGGAGGCTGGAGGTTGGCCAGGGAAAGAGCATCATCACTCTTTCGAAGACTTGTTGCCAGAATTGGTTATTTTATTAATGATTTGGCCTGATAACAGCTAATGAATTCATAGTGAAATGAGGCAAAAAAAAACCACTTTCTTGAATCTAGGTATATGGGCCAGATGTTTGGGTATTTGTGAGAGGCATTAGATAGGGATCAGAAGATAGAATGCATTTTCCAAAAGGCCACTAAAAGCACTTATGGAACAAGATGAGGGTAGAGCACTTTGCTTTCAGTAGACGTGTGAGACAGTTTAGAAGGCATGAATTCAGAGATCTTATTTAACACACACCTGAGATGGAAGGGTTCCTTTTGTTTTAGCTGCTGGTATTAACGGAAAGAAGTGACCTGAGTTCATGTTTTAGTTCCAGTTTTTTTCTTCCAGGAAAGCAGAAGAGCTGTACTTCTAGTGTAGGTGAAATGATGTAAGAGGGCGAACGAGGGAAAACAGTTTCTCTTTGAATGCAACTCTGATCATGCCTTTAAAAAAAAAAAAAGTGTGTCTATTATGAATCCATTTGCCAGGCCTGAAAGACCTGACGCTGTCTGCCTGGTCCTGTCATTTTCAATCACACATGCTATCTCTCTCTCTCTCTCTCTCTCTCTCTCTCTGATCCAGCCTGAGGAGGAACAGTCGGTCTGTGATATCACTGGATCTAGTTCTTCCACTGATGACACAGCTTCCCTGGATCGACATTCTTCACATGGCAGTGATGTGTCCCTCCCTCCGATTTCAAATTTGAACAAGTCCAAGGATCCACCAAGCCTGGATGGCTTCTATGGCCATGGGACGAGAGCTGTGCGGCAAGAGAGCGTGCCTGCTGACCCAGGAGAAGTGGACGAGGAAGAGATGGATAGCATCACCGAGGTGCCTGCACACTGCTCTGTTCTGAGGGGCTCTATGCGGTCTCTGTCTCCTTTCCGGAGGCACAGCTGGGGTCCCGGGAAGAATGCAGCCAGCGATGCAGAAATGAACCAGCGGAGGTAAGTCAGAAGGCAATCTCTGTCCAGTCTCCATTTCTCTGCTTGCTTTGGATATGGCAGTTGGCAAAAGGTTTTAGGAGACACCATGGCACAGAAGAAAGAATATGGGTGCTGGAATCAGGAAAAACTGTTTCAAACGTCAGATTTTTAACTTATTACGTAGATGATCCTGGGCAAGTTACTTGGCCCCTCAGATCTTCAAATTTCCCATCTGTAAAATATTTGCAATAATTAGGTGGCACATAGTAGGTGTGGTAACATGCATCCTTGCTAGCTTTGTCCATGAAATCCTTAGGGTAGAAAACAAAGGAGAAATCAGTATATCAGTAAATAATATGAGAAGTCGTTTTGAATTAATAAATATGAAATCCTACTATCTCAACACATCTAACTTTTCTATATTATGTCACAGGAATTAAAGCCACTTGTTTCTTATGCTGATACTTTTGATAATCTCTAAATATCAGTGCTAATACTCGAGGGTATAAGAATAAATATGAGGACAAGTCAAAAAGTATTGCTAAAAAATCATACAAACCTATATTTCAAAAAAATATGAAGCTGTTGTTTCACAACATACCCTTGTGTTAGGCTGAACACTTCTGAAGACAATGCTTCTAACTCCTCCTGCTCCCAAAGAACCCTGTGTGCTTTAGTTACACCACTGAGAAATGGCCATCCTCAAGCAACTCAAAACATGTTTGTTTTAAATATTCTTTGAGTGTGGGGAGCAAAAGGAAGTTCCACGGGGCGAGATGAGGACCATCGAGGGATAATTCTCATGGCTGAGCCCTTGCTGCTTGTGCAGAATGAGCAGGTCATGTCCCTCCTGATGGGGACCAAAATCTCAGCACCAATTCCCCTGGCCTTTTTCTCAGCAACGCAGCTTTCTGTTTTCTTAAAATGTCTTCCCTGCGTCCTTTGAAAAAAATCTGTCAAGGTCATTGAGCCTTTTGAGTTGAGCTCTGTCTTGAATTTAACTGGCCAGCAGGTACGCTCAGAAGCCACTGTTTGAATGGGACTTTGCTTTCTGGATCATATTACGAATCAAAGCTATTCAGCTGAAGTAAGTATTGGTAAATCCAAGACTCATCCCCAGTTCTGAGTTCTTCCATAATATCCTCTTCCCAAGCCTCAGTCTTGCGTACCAGTCTGACAGAAAGAAAGGTCAGCCTTTTGAGCCAGCTGATCTTGGCATAACAGGTTTGGCCCCCATCCAGGTGCAAATGTGCTGAGGCCAAATGCTGGACCGCGTGAAATCCACACCTCAGGAGCAGTCCCACTGTTGGTAATTCAGTGGTCTTCCACCACTTTCCAGACTTCAGCCAATTGCTCATTCTTCGAGGCTACAGTTCAGGTCTTCCAACCTTAACATATTTGATCCCCAAAAATCTTTTGTGTGGGTCAGTATTTTCCCATAAAGTGTTTCTAATCTTTTGGGAAGCTGCTCAACTTGAGTTTTGTTTAAAACTTTATCTTAACCCTAATCCAGTTTTTTTTACCCTCATGGCACAAAAAAATATCATGTCTAAAATGAAATATCATGTCTAAAATGTTGATACAAACAACTCAGCTAGCATAATTATTTTTTAAATTCCTGGCCCTCTTTATGATACATCTTTAAATATATGTCTCAGTACATAAAGTCTTACCACATTCATTCTTTTGTTTTACAAACATTGTGTACCTCAGTGTCAGGCACTGTTCTAGCTTCCAGACGTGGGACAAACTAGACAAAATCCTTGCCTTCAGAGAGTTCACAGTATTACCGTACACTTTGGTAATTCCTTCAAGTTCTTTCATAACCCATTATCTTACAGAAATTGTTCTTCGACTTGAGTCAAGTGGCCTTTTCCCCAGTTTTACAGATGAAGAGACTGGAGCAGCGGGGTTAAGGCACTTGCCCAAGGTCAATAGAATCCAGGTTCCTGGTCTCTTGGTCAAGTACTCTGACTGCGGTTTCATTTTATTCTGCAGTCAGAGTTGAGCTTGCTAACCTTCAAAATAAATAATGTACCTTATCTTCCAGATCGATTTATATGGACTTGATACCTAGATCACATAAAAAGCAGTTTCTCAAAGTTTTCCTTTTCAGCTTTCTTTTTGGTGTGGTGCTTTGTTTTTAGTATCCACACCCATAAGAAAAATAGGAGCTAGGGAATGATCCCTCTAGCCCGAAGGTTGTTTGTGAACCACGATTGGTTCCTTCACAGGATAACCTAGTCTTTAGCAATAACAGGGCTAAGGAACTGGCTTTATGTATAATCCATTTTCCTTCATAACCCGTTGTGGATCCCGTTTGCCTTCGATTTCCGACTAGATTTGACTTCATGGATCATCTTGCTCAGGTGAGGAAATCGAAACTCAGACTGAATGATTTTCCCAGGGCTCTTGTATTAGTCTAGGTACTTTAGAGAAACAAATCCACAGCAACTCATGTATAAGAGAGTTTTATGTAAAGAAAGTGTGCATCACGAAAACATCCCAACCCAATGCTGCCCAAGCCCACAAGTCCAACATTAACCCCTTAACCCAACACCAGTCCACAAAGTCCTCCACCTCACAAAACAGGCAATAATGCCGATTGCAGGAGGAAAGCTGAGTCAGTGAACGAATAAGCATCTCAGCACTAGCAGGGGTCTCCACATGGCTGCTCCAGCACCCAGGGCTGCATCGGGATAGGTCCATGTAGCTTCTCCTTGGGGATGTCTTGTAGGAAGTCAATCTTGCAAGCTGAAGCAGAGAACTGCTAAGGCAGCTGCACGCTGGTGCGACCATCACAAAGCAAGAGACCCGAGAACTAGAAAGGCGAGGCTCACCACCCATTCATCCCTCTGCCTTTCAATTAGCCCCACATGTGATTGTCAGCCAGGTTGGCACAATTAACTAACTCAGCTCTCTTAAGACTGAACTGAGATTAGAATGATATCACCATTATTTATATTTTCAACCTGTACTGTGTCATGGAATCTCATATTTTGACTTAAAATCACAAATTAGCTAGCACAGTCAGCCAAAAAAGAATCTGGATATAATTTTTAGATTAGTTTAGAAGAAGAGGTTGTAATGATAGCTTTAATTATTTTGACTAATTCCTTTTTTTTAACTAATTCTTATAATATTATCAACATGTAGACTAACCTGAATATCAAAGACTTAAGAAATTAAAGTTGTAATTACATTTCCTCCCTTCCTGGTCTTACATGCTCCTAAATGTGTTTATTTGTTTTATGGTTGGTTGGTTGTTTATTTTAGAATTTAATAGACCTATTCATTGTCTTCTTCTTAACTTCATAGAGCAAAGAGGGAGCAAAGTAGCTCTCCACAGAAACGGCTGGGCCTTTTGGAGTCTGTTTCTCTCATTGTACATTCTTCTACTCCCTTACTCCCTGTGCTGCTTCTCTGTAGGGGTGGTCTCTCTCCCCAGTGTGGTGTCGGTATTTGGTACAGTTGTGTCTCATTTTGTCTCGCCATCAACACTGACCTCTTCCATCATTCATTTTCAGTTCAATGCGAGTTCTTGGGGATGTTGTCAGGAGACCTCCCATTCATAGGAGAAGGTACAGCGTTCACTAACTTGACTGACTAACCACATTGCCTCCGAGCATATACTAACTTAATCCATTGTTACATACTATACCTTTGACTAACGCAGTGTGTGCACCAGGCAAATGAATTTTAAGAACATATTGCTATTGTCCATTTTATATTAAATGCTTCCTAAATCTGAAGCTCTAAACTTATTGCGTGTGTGTCCAAAAGCTAAAATAGTGTCCCATCCTGTGCATTACTGATGTTTAGATAAATTTACAGTAGATTTTCTGACCCAGATTTCACTAGGAGAATTGAAAAGCACTGTCTCTGTTATACCTACCTGGGGAACCCTAGTGAGTACTTCGTTCCTGCTCTGTTGGGGGGGGTGCCATAAATGTGTGATGCATGTATGTATGCACGCAGGACTTATGGTATTTCCAGCACATGCATTAGAAATATAGTACAGGCCTTGATTGCTCAGTCACCTGGCACTCCCTGTTCCATTGGTGATGCAGCCATTCCTTAGAGCAAATGAGAGGAGGAAACCATCTCTGAGGGTCCTCAACTTTCCAAGTCATTCATTATCTTTTGGTAGGTAGAATTTTAAGATAAAAAAAACAAATCCTGATTTTATGCTGGTCTTTCTCACTCTTTTTCAAGTGAATGCTCTTTAAAATTTGTGCTCATAGGCACACAATTGAACTCAAACTCTAATATGCTCACAAAAGTGCAGATAATCATGACTCCGGGTAAATTAGTAATGCCTTTTCCATTCAGGAGACGTATTTGTCTGGCTACCCATTAAAACTCTTCATTGTGAATAGATTAAACATGCGTGCTTGGTGGGTAGTGGACGATGAACAGTGGCTGGATGGAGTCCAGGTTAATGCGTTAAGAGACAGTGCCGTCTTCCCACGAGCTTTTTGAGGTCCCCTCCCAGATCTAAGGGTCGTCAGCAAGTCCAGTTTATGGTTCCAACTAACGTCATGTCTGTAAGAAGGACGTGATGTGTAATTTAAAATTACCTCTCAGGCTTGAGCTAAGAAATTTGAAACAACCCAGCAAGTGTACAAATGTGGAGGATGGGGTATTTCTTGTTGTCATCCTTGTTTTTTAATCTAGAATTTTCTAAATCTCAAGATAAGTCAAAGGTCAATGGAAGTTACCATGACTGATTTAGGAATTAGGGAGGAAAGTAGGCTGTTCGCAGGAACCGTGAAAGGAGTTTTCACTACAAGGAAGGGCAGCCGCTGTGTGGGCATGTGCAAACCTTTACAGCAACCATCAGACCTCTTCCTGCCTCCCGTTTCCACCTCACCCGCCTCGTCCAAATTCACCCCGCCCTTCCAGGTCATCGCCAGGTCTGAAAACAAACGTGATCCTGACATACGTAGGGGGCAACTATTTCTGGAAATGGGAGTTTGGCCATGTATGTTCACATACTGCTTCTCCATGTTCCGTCTTTAATACGAAGTTTTAATGTAGGTACACTATGCCTCCTTACTAACTATTTGGAGATTCAAAAATGAAGTATAATTTCCAAGAGTTAACTTTTGTGTCCTGTTTCAGTTTGTACAATAGACCAAACAAGACGTGCTTCTATTCACAAAGTAGTTATAAATCAAGCTCATCCTGCTTACCAGCCTAGAGACGCACTCCAACTGTGGATTCTGCCGTCCGCTTTTGCAGCAGTGAGCTTTGAGTTGCTCACTTAATCTGATTTAAAACATTTTTATCCAACTTAACTTTTTTCAATGATAAAAAATCGACATTTTAGAAGAGCCATGTTGTCTTATGTTCTCTCACCATGTTCCTTGTCTTTCTTCTTCTGCGCCCCCCCCCCC